AATTGATGTTATTACAATAATCTTTGTTATTGTCGAGATGGTTTTAATTATTGTGTATATACTGTTAATATCATATAAAGTATGAGTAAATACATAAATAGTCGTGACCTAGTAATAACAACAATAATATGACAGCTCAAAGTGGTTCTCACAGCTAGAATGGCTGGATAAAAGAGAAGATTGTTTAGCCTGTCTTTCCTCCAAAAATCCGCCATTTTACCACTTTTTTTTCTGTGGCGCGTTAATTAGAATTGGTTAAGTGCTAAAGGTCCATTTAAAGTAGTGGTGGGCGATACTGGCCAAAATGGATTCGATACGATACCGATCGATATCAGCTTATATCGGGAGTATCGATACAGTTTCGATACGATATTTAGACCACACCTATGGAGTCACACCCCTTATTATTGACTGTTTTCATCGATGTTTTCATGCACGTGTATCCACGTGTGTGTATTTACGTCATTAACTTATTAAAATTTTCATTATTAATATTATTTAACCATAATAAATGGGCGTGGTCAATGTATCGATCCAGATTCCATCAAAATTTCGATACCGATACGAATCGATACCGTAAAATATCGTTTGTATCGATAAAATATCGATATATCGCCCACCACTAATTTAAAGTCATCACGACTAAATAGTCATCATGACTATTGATAGTACCCAATAAGTATGTCAGTCCTACTTGCCATAGGTTGACATAAAACATGTTGTTACGACGTTTTTATGTCGTGTCGACGTAAATCACGTCAACACGACGTCATAAGGTAGGGATATAATTTTGAAACATTTGGCTTGCCATAGGCTCGCTTATGCTCGCCCCAATAACAATAAACTAGGCGAGTGTAGAACATTGAAGGGGCGAGCACAAGCTAGCATGGCAATATACAATGTTTAGATGTCACAAAGGCTAATGTTGTTGTCAAATTGTAAATTGAATGATACACATGCAGAGCACTGAGCTCAGAACTTGTGACTTGCATGCAAGGAAATTTTATAGCTTGCTCTTCTCTCTTTATTAGCAGTGAAGAATCTCAGTTGTAACTTTAATAAGTATAATTTAATTTTTACTATGATATTTTCAAGCACAGTACTTTTAGACTCTCTTTTCTCTGATGAGCCATTTGAAGTGCTTTTATATTCTGTCATTCAACCATAATTAATAAAAACTTGAAGATTTATGTGTGTTTTCTTGAATTTTCTCTGCTGATGAAGTGTCTTGACAAGAGATCAGTCCTATGTTGCTGCAAGTAAGATTGGCTAAGGTAGGTGCCATTTTAATTTCATTGCAACCACACCCACATCAATAAAAATATTTCATTAGAATGCTACCGCATTAGATCATTGATTTTTAAATTGGAGTTTAAGACGTAGGGTTAGACAAAATTAATCCCAGGGTTACCCGGGCACCTTCATTGCGCATGCTCACTCATGACTATATATAGTGAAGCGGCGATGGTTTGCATTCATTCAAAAGTCGCATTTAGAGCAGAAAGGTCTGATTTTCTAGCTGTTTATCTATGGCGACGTCTTCTGCTAGTTCTTCTGCTTCTTCTTCAGCTCCGTCTTCTTCTTCATCATCATCTTCAGCTCCAATTTTAACTCCTTCAACAATTGTGGCAGTCATCCAGGATGCTGTGAGAAGGGAGGTCAATTCTGCTGTCAGCAGAGCCTTGGCCGTTTCCTCAACTCCTACTCCTATTCCAAGCTCTCTTATTTCAACTGCCTCAGGTATTCATTGTTATTTATTTTAAATATCATGATATCTTAGCTATTTCGTTCACGTTTGTGCATTTATTTTGCTTATTAGCCTTAAAAAAAAAACATCGTGCTTTTGTTCTTGGCTCTTTTACATTATTTTGCAGTATTTTATCTTTTAGCTTGTTCGCATTTTTCAAAAAAAAAAATAATAATAATAATTGATTTTTGTTTTTAGCGATGTGTTTTTAATTAATTGATTTTCAATAATTTGTCAACCCACGCACATTCGTACTTTATTCATGCTTTCCAGTGTCTCTTTGCATCCGTGCTAGACACTGTTCTGGTTCATG